TCTTCTAATTTAAAATAATTTTGGATGTTCATAAAATTAATCACTTTCGAAATCACGATTATGAGTAATTCCGCGCAAAGCATTTCCCTTCCGATTCTTTATCGCGGTCACTAAACCTAGCAGGAACTTAACCAATCTTCTTACTTCAAGATAAGCATTATTACAACTACGCGCAGATTACATAAAAGGTATGTTGCTAAAACATATCCGGACACTTTTGAATTAAACATTTACGGCCAGACTCACATTTTCCTTGTGATTTTATTGAAACATTGAACGTCTGCGTATCCTGTTGCCTTTGTTGACTGATAGCCAATTTTTCTCCGAATTATTCTAAGTTAATTTCTTTTTCGAGAAAATATTCAGAAAAATGAAACAAAGGCATAACCCAACTGTAACTGATAGAAAAGTGATAGGCCCTTAAAACTCAGACACCCAGGGACGTGCGTAATAGAGATTTGAGTTGCACTCTAATCTGCAACCGTAGTTACTTTCCAAGATTAAATTACACTTACTGCCCAAAAAGGCTGTAAATCCTAATGAGCATTACGAGGATTACTATAAAGTCTTCATGCTCGAATTCATTAACACAACGGCCGATCCTAGACAACTACACAATGCGAGCACGGATATACACTAAAAACTAGAGTAGAAGAACAGCAAGAAATTGGTTGACATAAAGCCTGTAAGGGAATTTCCAAAAAGAAAGAATGAATTGAAGGTAAGGTTAATTGATTGATTCAAACAACTTCAAGTTGTTTTTGCTGTTGATTATGCCTAAAAACTTTGTATTAATATTTGTCGAGTAGACCGTCGCCTTGTGAACTAGAAGCGACCGTTTGTTGTTTGCCGATCTGAGTATGGAGGCATCCTAATAAAATAACCGGTACACATCCACTGCAGATTTTTTGTCAACGTGCACAGATCTAACTAAGCAATACCATATACAATCATGATTTCGACAAATGAGCACTTTCCTTCGCTACTCCGCTCGAATTCTTTCTCACCCTAGATTACACACATCCCTGCCATCAAGAGCACCCAGTTATCATCCAATCAGCAAAATAGAAGATGCTAATTAATTTCTGGTAAGAACATGCAGGGTGTCCACTTCATAACTAACAAAACGTTTACATCGCTTTTGATCACCTCTAGGATGATTACCAATTGTTAGCTATCCGCGTGCGATGATCTTATATATGTGTAACTTTTAACTATGTCCTTTGAAAACCCGAAAGATCTACATGCAAGAAGTTTGGTCCTCCTAGTTCACCCAAAAGGCCCGGTGATTGCATAGAAAAAGGGGAAGATAGAGAGATGGACGAAAAGGTTTTCGCAATAAAGTCATACAAGAAAAGAGACCTATAAAACATGCATTTAAAGTTCAAAGAAAACCATAACCTTCATCATAGCATTAAATGCTTATGGATTAGGGTAAGACAGAAGAAGAAGACGATGCCATGCTGGAAAAGAAAACTTGCCTGCAGCTGCGTCAAATACAGCGCTCTTTTCGTTTCTATCTGTTTTAGTGGAAAAGGATTCATGTCATTGAACGCGACCTAAACAAGCGAATTTTCAGGACTCAAACAAATTTTCGCTTCATTTTGTTCCTTAAAATACGTAAGTTATTTATGTATACAGTTTTTCAAAAAAGTTGTGGCAAAGAATGTCATAAAAAGTTGAGAGCCAGTCGGTACGATTAAGATGGCATTCAGGTCAGTGACCATATGCAGCCTCATATAGATTTAAGAATCAAAACAGAAATCACCTGTGCTAACGATTTGTAGTCTGTCACATATTGCCGTGGTTTGCTTAAAACTGCATGAACGGTACTGACAGTCTTGCTTTGCATCACGGCTGGTTCGCACAATTTGAGAATTGCCAGTGCAAATCGGAACAGAGACTGGAAAGAATGGAATAGAGATGTAAACATGTTTTTACAGCTAGTTTGAAAAGCATAATTCACCTTATTCCCTTCATAAAGGAAAACATCAAAGATGGGCAGATAAATCTGGTGAGGTAGAACATCTACGCAGCATGTAAGGAACCAGCTGAGCGCAAACAGAGATAGATCGACCTCGAACTGTCGTAGATGCGCTGCAAGTCGCGGCAGTTTCTCGTTTACTAGGTCTCGCAGCACCTAAATTAACTTAAGCATAAGGTTATGAAAAAGAAAGTTTGGAAAGGATAACTCCAAAAATTATGCAGTGTCAATGATGAGATTTTTTGACAGATAAATTGGGATTATCCCAAGCTCGAAATTTGGAGAAAAAATTTCAGATAAGTGAATGTTTTGCTCTCAAATGTGCTTAATCTGGTTGAGTATCAAAACTTCCTACATCAACTTCAGAATAAGAAGCCTAACAGAAAAGCATACAACATTCTTACCTTCTGATCTGCCACAGCTCCAATGAGATTGCTGGCATAATAATTCGGTGGTTGTAATTCAGTAAAAGCTATAAGGAACCAGAAAGCATCCTCCTCATCCAGGTATAAGAGGGCTACCGCAGCAATCCGATTCAATCCCTCAAAACCCAGTTTGATACTGGTCATACAAAAAAATCTAGACACTACCTAACTTTACCTGGCAGTAGCCAATAAGCGTATCATGGTTCCTATATGCATAAAGCACCCTTCTTAACTGTTTCACTTTCTCTGAGTCTGGGTCAGCAAACATGCGATTCGCAGGAAGAGTTCTTACAAGATCGAGGTCAATCTGAAGTACCCATCATACAAGAAAAAAAAAGGCTTTTTAAAGATAGATTAAAAGCGTGCAATTGTTGAACCTTAAACCATCATTTATCGATGATATTACCGTACCTGTTTGATTGATGTGTCATAAACGCCACTTTCTTGTTGATACAATGTCTTTCGAAGCATACTGCTGTAATAGCCATTGCCAAACTCCGTCAGTTTTTCCTTTAGAGTCATTTGTATTAATCTAGAAACATCAGATATATTCCTTAAAATAGAAAAGGAAATAATCAACTGCGCACCCCTTCCACACTCGTGCCCGATAGGCTTCGGGTATTCCCGTACGGACTAGATTCTTAAGCTCTACGCTTTCAACTAGTGGCCGACCGACCCAATTTACTATGAAAGCATCCCAGGACTGCAACCAATGCATATTCTCCTTGCTTTGTTCCTATGAAATAAAATTTAGATATCACGCGAAAAAAAAGCCCAAAACCGAAGATTACTGAAAACCGTACAAGGTTTGCTGCCTCTAAGCTCTGTGCTCCTTTGTCGGCGTATTCTGCAGCAAGATCCAACAGATCGCCGCTGCTAGAACCCTGAAATAATCGAATAAGGAGGAATATCATGAGAAAGAGAAGAAAGAAAGTCCTTCACAAAACGCTAATCAGAATTTTTTTGATTCTACGTGATCATTACAGCACCCAAAAAATTTGAAGTACTAAATTTTCAGTGAACCCAATTTTGGCATCTTTCAGTTTCTGAATCAAAAATCTTCACCTCCTCTGTTCGCCCTTTAAGATAAAATCCCAAAGCGTCTGTCTTATCCATGGAATCTCGAGATGTTCGGCAAACTTCAGCCATTAACTGTTGCAACATGCCTGGCTCCATCACTAAAGCAAAGCACTTCACCATCTGCAGCAAGCTGTCCAAATATACTCTGTTCAATTCATCGACTAATATACATAGAAATTCAAATAATTTTAAGCTTTTAGGAAAAGTTTTTCAACTCTTACTGATGCTTGGCTTCTCGGGTGATTTGAAATGATTCAAAACCATGAGATAGCGGCTCTTCATCTGATAGTAACAGCCTTCAACTTCGGCAAATTGACGCTGCCAGCTGCGTTCTCGTTCTTCTAACGATCGCACCATCTTATGCAACACT